GCACATATCTGAGAAGAAATTCGAAGATATGAGTGAAGTCAACCAACCGGCACTTGGCTCCGAGCCTCTCAGTAGGGACATATAGTGAGCTGATGACGAAGACTGTTCTAATGCACTAATTTGCTGTAAACAAAAAAAAATTAACTTACCTACCGTTTCATAGCGCAGTACCAAAGTGTCTGGACAAACCCGCAATGGGTTTATAGTCACTTTTATTGTAAATTTGTATTTTATTCCTTGTTTATATAAATAAAAAAAAATAAAAAAAAAAAAATTAAATCATGTGGAAATTTACTTATAATAAAACTCCGAATGTTTGTACGTATGGTATCTCCAGAGCTTGGATATCGTTGAAATTAAGCATAGAGCATAGTCTGAATGGCTACTAATTTTGTTCTTTAATTCTGCGTAGACGGAGTCGCGGGCGACAGCTAATTCTACAAAAATAAAATTTATTTTTTTGGTCTGACATAAATACGAAATGTTGACCACACATGTCGATTGTCGTACTAACAAACTTGACAATTTGGTACACAAATATGGGTCAGTAGAATTCCAAGATGTCAAACGAACGTTGAACAAATATTGAACATTTTCGCTTTCTTTAAATAAGTAGAAAGTGATGCATCTTGTTAGCGCGAGTACATTAGTTTTGAGTACACTAGGAGTTGTCCGCGACTTCGTACGCGCGAAATGTCAGCAGGGATAGTGTAGCGTCTCACAGTAAAACAATTTTTTAAATCTATTCAATACGAACGATGAAATAGTTCTTTATAAAATGACTATGGATATTTTAATAAAATCCTGTTTATAAATCTTACTGTTTAATTTAACTTCTAACTAATATTATAAATATGAATATTTGAATGTTTCGTTGTTTGTTAAAGATATCTCCGGGATTACTTGATGGATTTCGCTGAAATTTGACATATGTAGAATATAATCTGGAAGAACACATAGACACCTAATTACGTTTTTTTAATTCCACGCAGACGGATGCACGGGCGACAACTAGTATTAAAATAAATTCGATAAAGATATAATTTACCTTTGACTTTATAGATAGTATTGGTCCACTAAATTTGATGAATGGTAATTAACAATAACATAGTCAAAGAGCTGTTTATCAAGAAAGTCGTTCCAGTGACCTCAAGCCATATGTCATAATAACGATATCATATCATTTTATCAAAGTAACTCTGTAATTGAATTTAATTAGGATTTCACACAAAGAAATTACTGTTGCAAATTATAGAGAAATCTGCAAATCATATTTATGCTAATATTATAATGCGGAAGAGTTTGTCTGTTTGTACGCGCTAATCTCAGGAACTATTGGTCCGATTTGAAAAATTCTTTTTTTGTTAAATAGTCCATTTATAGAGGAAGGCTTTAGGCTATATAACATTTTGCTGAGACCAATAGTTTTAAGACATAAAGATAAAAAAAATGTAATTGATGTCTTGATTTTATTGACGTAGTTGTCGCCCACGATTGCGTCAGCGTGGAATTAAAAACATAATTAGTAGCCTATGTGTTCTTCCAGACTATGTATAGACATATAGATGTATGCCAAATTTCAGCGAGATCCATGCAGCAGTTCATGAGATACTTTCTAACAAACATCCATCCATCTAATATTCGCATTTATAATATTAGTAAACGACTTTGTCAGCGCAATAATTAAAAACTTAGCCTATAATATCCCAGCACATATCAGCTACCTTCCTGTCACAATTGGTCTAACCGTTCCGGAGATAACCCAGAACAAACGTAACTTTTCTTCTAACAAACATCCATCCATCTAAACATTCGCATTTATAATATAAGTAAGATTAATTCACTTGACATCGCTCGGAAGTTTAATACAATGATTCTTGTACCCAAATACATCAACAATTATGATTCCATTGAGGGCCAAAACCATACTTAGTGAAGCGTAACTTGATTAAACAAAGAGTAAAGGCCTTAAGGTTATATTAGGCTTGCTCAACATAATTTGGACCACCATTGAACCGTATCGGCCTTGAATGTTTGATAGTGTGGGATGTACCTTATTTAGTGTTGCCATGTTCGTGTAAGAATAAGATTACATTTCGAAATCGTATTTAAGGATTGCTTTTTTAAGGTATAAAAGACAAGTTACAATACGAATGTTTCGATGAATGGGTGGATGTTTGTTTGAAGGTGTCTCCAGAATGGCTGCTCGGATCGAGTTGCAATTTGGCATAGATGTAGAAAATTGTCTGGAAGACCATAAAAGATTATTGTTTTTTTTTCTTCCGCACGCACGGAGTCGTGGACGACAGCTAGTAAGTTATAAATAAAGAAATATTAATCTACGATTCATAAATAACTGTGTATATTAAACAGATTTAAGTAAAGGCGTTTCTAATTGAGTAATAGTTTAGTTTCATCTGTCCCGATGTTTTTATTCTAATCTTACAAATTAAATTTAATCCACTTCTCGGTTATTGATTGAGTCGAAATTTTGCATACACGTGTAATTCACGTGACAATGCAATATTACGATGACATGCTGATCTGATGATGGAGCTTGAAAGTGGTTAGAGAAACATCGCAATGAAATAACAAAATCTTATGTTTGGGTTCGTTTGAAACGTCTTGTCTTTTTTTAATTTTAGTTCTTTTAATTTACTAAAACATGATAATAGCTTGTTGTTAAAAAGTTTGTTTTTCTTTTAATTATTACTAGCTGTCGTCCGCGACTCCTTCCGCTCGGAATAAAAAGAAACTATTGGTCGCAGCGTAATGTTATATAGCCTAAAGCCTTCCTCTATAAATGGACTATTCAACTAAAGAAGAATTTTTCAAATAGGACCAGTAGTTCCTGAGATTAGCGCGTTTAAACAAACTCTTCCGCTTTATGACATTAGTATAGATTAAAAAGACTTACGCAAAAGTTTTTGTAACATAACCTCTAAATTACTTACGATTCAAAGTACCTTTCGTATACCAAACATTCGGTAAACTACGATAAGGAAAGTGTTTCGCAATTCCAATGTTCTTATCGAATAGTTCTGGTTCGGGTCGTACTATCAAGTTTATTAGGTACAAGCCATTTTGATATCTTAGTGGGTTTTAATGTAAGGGCTGTTTATGTGAGCTTAACATATTATTTGAATTCTTAATCTTTGATATTTTGGACCACCGTAAATGTTATATTGTCTTTGAATGTTTTTAATCTGTGACCAAACGTCAAATGTCAGTTTTCCCGCTATTTTTTTTAAAAGTGATGTTAAAAATATTTTTTTTTATTCCGTTTGATCAACTTTAATTTCATGCTTTTTGTGTATTACTTTTAAATCAGAATGTTAATTTTCCGGCTATTTAGTTTCTCAATGAAAGAAATCATTACGTATACTTTCCCACAGTTCTTTTGGTTGAAAAATACTTATTATAAAAACTAAAATAACTATAATTAATGTTGTGTTTCTTGAAATTAAAATTAATCAAATGTCAGAGTTAATATCCCCGCCATTTTATACCATAGACAAAAGCAATGACATCGCCGTCCATTTTGTTTTATCCGTCACACTGTTAGAACAGATTTTTAAAGTAGTTACGTTACAAAAGATCAAAGGAACCACGGAAGGAAGCTGGGATAAGTCAATAAATTCTTAAAGTTTATTTTTAAAACACCAGCCGTACCATAAGTATGCATTTCCTGGTTCGATAGATGGATTATTATAGGACCGGTACATATGGTTTTTATTAGTATAATCCATACTGACCAAATCGTATGTATTTTGCAGTTTCATAACTCTAAATATAAAGGTGAATATACACTACAGCACTGTCACGAGCATTTCCATGTAATCTTACGAATGTTATATAGTTAAAAGCATAGTTTCCTAAGCACGTATGGTTCGTGTTTTAAATTATAAAAGTCTATTCACCAATCATGAAATTATCTATTAATTTTAAGCCATGTGTCAATCAACTATTTTACAGAAAATAATTTTACTAAGCACCGGGATGTCTAGAAGACACTTTATACAAGAAGACGTATGTATGGGTTGTGTGAAAGAGGATATGTGTAATAAGGGAATGTATTCAGATATAACGGCTGATAGAGATGTATGGAAGACATATTGTGACGTCACTACGTAGAGAAAAGGACAGCATGATTAATTTTTAGTCTGAGGAGAAATTTTAGTATTAGTCGTAGAGCTAAAATGTTTTTTTTTTTAGCCAAAGACGAAGGTTTTTGTTAATGTATTTTAAGTTGTACGGATGTTTGGAAATAACGGTTATTTAAGATTAAGTAAGCCGCTTCCTCATTTGACGGATTGAACTATAAAAATAACTGTATTAAGTTTATTCGTTGTAATCAATTTCATGCAATTTGTTAGTCAATGTAAGTCATTGACCTTGAAAATTGTCTAATCGATTCTTTATAGTGAACTGTTTTGTTTAATTTAATTTTAAATTTGATATACTATGATAGTCAATACAATAGCTATTGATTAATATTATTCCTAAATAAGGTTAACAGTTAACTAGCTGTCAAACGAGAATCCAACCGCGTGGCATTAAAAAAATAGTAGCCTACATGTTCTGCAGACTATGTTCTACATCTATGTTAAATTTTACCGAAATTCATACAAACGTTCTGGAAATATCTAACAAAAATCCATCCAAACATTCTCATTTATAATATTAGTTATATTTTAATTAATTAAGATGTAATCGTAATAAATCCGTTTCAGACACAAAAAACCTATTGCACTTTTTATTTTAAACTTTTTTGTTATACCAAAACGTTACATTCGGATTAATGACATTTTGAATTAATTTAAACGCGCAGATTATTTCGAGAAACGGAACGCATTTTAAGTTTAACATCTGTTAATTTTTAGGTTATAAAATTTTAATTTCGAATTACGAGTGCATTAAATGAATATATTAAATTTTTATTTAATGTAATTCGTATTTTATTTTCCAATAATATTAATCTTTAAATGTTTTGGTTACAGATATCCGAAAGTGCCTAAAGGGATGTGCCTTCAGTGAAAGTGTAACTCAGTGTTCATTGTAATAGAGTTTAAAGTCTGTTAACATTCAACGAGGTTTTACTGTAGTGTTTTGTTCTTGTGTGAGAGATACAAAAATAGCTGCAGCGATGGAGTTAAGATGGGTTTTGTATTGCACGGTGGTCCTAGCGGTGGTATGCTTCGCACAGAATACAGGTATGCTAGTTTTATTATAAAGAATACATTAGGATACATGTTTGATTACGTATTATGGAATTATAGTGATTTGTTGTACGGTAAATGGAGTTATTTTACGTTTATTGTGCCAGTTTTTAAATGAAATCATATTCAAGATTAACTGTCGTACTCATAGACTTTAATTAGTCACTAATGGTGTGTGTAGGGTTTTATTTAGTTTGAGAAATATACCCTAAACGACTTTTTATGCAGCCACTGGCTGTCCGCACGTAATTAGTTAAGGAACTTTATTAGCCTATGTGTTCTTCCAGACTGTGTTCTACATCTGTGCCAAATAACAGCATGCACCGGTTCTGGAGATTGTTCTGGAGTGCTGTAGTAAATGTCATAGAAAATACAAGATGGTGTGATTAATTGGCGGGAATATCCGCCATCTTTTACTCTATGGTTATTTTATGAACAGATGCCTTATTTATCTGCATTGCGGATTTAGATTTTTGGCACGATCTCCAAATTATTGAGTCGTAACGAGGTCATTGCCTGAATTTGCTAGTCAAATTGAAATAAAAAAAGTTTGAAGTAAAAAATACGAATTCGGTTGAATCATGCAAATTAAACTACAATTTTAATTCACTTGTTTACGGTACTTGTCAGAATATAAATTACCTTTGTCTACAGTCAACAGATGGTTCAACAGTGGTAGAGCCCGCTTTAACATCTTCGCACGAATTGGCCCGGCTCGCCCGGTGTAATACCACGACCACACAGAAGACAGGCGTCAAGTGGAAGCAATTCCGCTTTTCGTCTGATGAGTGTGCGTCCCGGAGGCCTAATTTAGTCATCTTTCCTTTCGCACTTGAAAGGATGGGAAGTGGAAGTGGACTTTCCGGATGAGAGGATGCATGGAAAGGGAATATATTTTCTTTCTGTGCATCGTCTCCTCCGTCGATTAAAGGTATTCAACGCATAAGCAATTGCGTATGTCTATGGGCAACGGTCACTTCGCTATATCAGCGAATTCAAGTGGCCGCTCGCTCGTTTGCCACCTTATGATATAAAAAAAGATACCGAAATAAAAAAGTGTCTTGCCGACCACAGACATTCAGAAAAACTGTCAAATGTCTCGTTTGTTTTTTTTAGTTGGTCAAATTATAATGATAAAAAATTCATAAGACCAGTAAAGAATCTTTAAAGTAAAAAATGTCTAATTAGGGCTGCCACAATTCGTAAAATAGTCAAACCTAAGTTTGAAATGTTTAGACATCCCTGATTCCGTTCTTAAAATCTTTGTAAATAAATTTAGATTGGTTAGCTGTGTACATAGACTTTAAATTCAGATTGAACTCAAGGCTAACTAAATTTATAGCAAAAATAAACATCTCAATTAGATATGCTTTAAAATTCTTTCTGTAATATAGCTGTAATCATAGACTTATTAAAAACAGACATGTTTCTATCATCGATTTAAAAATTCAAACGTTCCAAAATAAATCCATAGACAATCTCTATTGTCCGCTAGTGAAATGTAATTTCTTATTTCCATTGAAATAATATAAACAAATTTATTTATGCTAATACATACGTTAATCATATACGACTTTAAAAATCCCTGACCTACTTATTATTTAAGCCCTTAACTAATCTGACTTATACCTTCTCCGACCATAGACAATAATGCTAATTTTTTTTAATAATTTATTCATAGTTAAAGGCTTTAAAACAGATTAATTTTTTTGGCCATGAATTTAATTCGTAACGGTGATGGTGATAATTTGCTCTTTCTTTCATGGCTTATTTTTTTTAATCAGAATGAAGAAAGTTTTGTTTATTCTGCCATGGTTTTTTTACTAGTTGTAGTCCGCAAGTCCGTCCGCGCAATTAAAATAAAACTATTGGTCGCAGCGTAATGTTATAAAGCCTAAAGCCTTGCTCTATAAATGGCCTATCCAACAAAAAAAGAATTTTTCAAATCGGACCAGTAGTTCCTGAGATTAGCGCGTACAAACAAACAGACAAACTCTTCCGCTTTATAATATTAGTATAGATTTTAAAACAGTTTACAGCGTTTTGGATTATAAAAAAGCGACTGGATGTTTCTAGAAATTCCTAGAAATATCAGTTAAATTTTAATGCAACATATGTCCTATGTTAATTAGATTCGAACTTGCAACAATTTATTTTTATACATTCTAAATCACGTAGTCAACATGGCGTCTAACAATCAAGTCCATAGACAACGTTAAACTTTTTTAATCAATTTTGACGTTCCGTTACCTGCCTCCGGCTGACATTTGATTTGGCGTCATTACTACATTCAATATAACGGTATTTTTTTATAATACTGTTTAATTTAATACTGTACGTGTGTTCGTATTATTAGTTTTTATATATCTACCGTGTACGGTGTTGTAATTGGGTGATTGGAGTATCGAAAGTGTTTAATGCGTACTTCTATTTAAAGTTTTGACAACTGGTTACTCCCTGACATCTGATAGTACAATTTGTTTTTTTTTTATGTTGGCAACCTGTTGGATAAAGGTTTTGTTGATTTAATGCCACAAGATTTGTTGTAGATGCATCTTACTTCTTACTAATATTATAAATGCGAATGTTTAGATGGATGGATGTTTGTTTGAACATATCTCCGAAACGGCTTAACGGATTTGTATGAAATTTATTATAGAACACATGTAGAATATAATCTGGAAGAACACGTAGGCTACTTAATAAGTTTCTTTTTAATTTAGTGAGGACGGAGCCGTGGGTCACAGCTAGTTTAGATAAACAATGTCCCTTTTTTCAGACGGAAACAAATTTCTGTGCAAATGCACAAGTAATCAATACTCACGCCCAAAACGACAGAGGTTAATGACCTTTTCAAATTAATTACGACACCGTTGAATAATATTTAAATTGTATTGGAGTTATGAAGTGTATGGATGTGGCATTATTTTTTCAAAAATTAATTATATTTTGTTTTATTATTTTAAATGTCAAATGAACTTTTATCATTATAAAGAGTTTATTCTTCAATTTAGATTTATCCAATTTTTTAATTTACAGAATCTTATTACTAGTATAAATGTGAAACTTTGGATGGATGGATGTTTATAAGAAGATATCTCCAGAACAGTTCAGCTGATCTGTATGAAATTTGGCATAGATGTAGAAAATCTTTATATATATAATTCTTCTGTGAGTGTGTATGTCACTGAACTTCTCTCAAACGACTGGACCGATTTTGATGAAATTTTTTATGTGTGTTCAAAGGGATCTGGGAATGGTTTAGATTCACAATGTTGTCAGCTGGACAATGTTTTTTTAAATTAAATTATAATATATTAGTAGTTGTTGATTTTGGAATGTTTTACATTGGATCCGACAGACGGCGCTACCATCGCAGTGTCAAATTTTCAAATTAAAGACGTGTAGACAGGACAACGTCTGTCGGGTCCGCTAGTATTCTATAATAGCACATAGATTACTAAGTTTTTTATTACCGCGCACACGGAGTCGCGGGTTACAGCTACACATACAATATTTAGTACTTAATATTAGTATAACATCTATCAACGCAGCTGCATAGTGTGTGATATTTGAAATGTCGAGTGCATCAACCTATATAATTCACATGTGGCATAAGTCGGCATTATTAACTGTTCATATCGTTGTCATGTGCAAATAATTTAACGGATATTTCTGTGATACTAGTGTGGGAGTTATATTTAGAAAATCATCAGCTAAGTCTCTACTGAGGAACTCGGAGTACACTAAGTTAGTGACTACCATAGTAAACGCTGGCCCAGTGCTGGTTGACTTCACGTGTTTTTGAAATTCGAGAATTCATTAGTATTGCGGGATTCGAACCCAGTTCTTGCAGATTAAAATACAGTGTAGTATTTAAGCCAAGAATACTATGGATTAACTACAGTGTTCTGAAAATAAATGACGCAGAACCAAATAGATGAAAGGAAATAAGAATACAGCTTGAAGGATACCAGTAAAGTCGCCAACAAGATGGACTGACCTAATCAGAGCTGTCCTCCTGTACCAATGTACAAAAAACGTAGAGAGTAGGGAGGAGTAGCGGCTCAAGGGGGTCACCGATACCTGATGACCACGACCAGTCTGAAAAGACTGCAGCAATGGAGAAGATGGAAAAGCATGATTATTGAAACATTTAATCTAGATCTTAGTCACGTGGTCGTATAGAGTCAAGCAATAGGCAAAATTTACTTAGGATGTTTATAATTATTTTATCTGTTTTTAAATTTTTCCCAGAAAAATTATTATTAAATAAAAATAAGTTAAATATTAAAATAGCGATTATTTTATACAAGATATAATATTGAAGAGTAATAAATAAAATACCGCATCCATTTGTCAAAATTGACTTCACTAATGAATGTGTTTCTCGTAAATTTCGGGGAGACAAAATGGCGGCGATGCACGCAATGTACAGACTGATATGGTTTACGATATCAGGTTTTTGTTAAACAAGTAAATGGACATGTACGAAGTGATATATAACGACAAATACTGTCCTACTGGATTTGCTGTAAGAAATTGTTTATAGCTATAGGGCCGCCCTTGTATAAATCATTGTATCACGATCTGTCGCCTAGACAATCTTTTTCCAAATTTAATCCAGATTCTTCCTGAAACTTAATAAAAAGTTGTTTTCGTATTTATAAGGAATTTAAAGAAAGTGTCATGTTTGTTTGAAGGTACCTACAGATCGAATCTCGACGAAATTTGGCATCCATATAGAACATAGTCTGGAAAAACACATAAGCTACTAACAATGTTTTTCTTTAATTTAGCGCGGACGGACTCGCAGGCGACTGTTAATCTTTTATAAAATGTCAATAGTTATCTTGATATTCGCAACAAAATGTAGGTGAATGATAAAATGTGAGAATCAGACTGTTTAGCAAAGAAAGTGCAAATATTGGCCGATAACAAGAATATTTCGCGTTATTGCAAATTGAAATATTGAAAGCTGTGACAAAAATTTC